TACTTCCAAATCCATATCTAAACGACCAATATTTACTTATCCCTGAACAGAGCAAATGCTGAGAGACTCAAATATAAACGACTGGTATTTACTTATTCTCAAACTAATTCGAAGATTACCTACTTAAATATAAATTAGCAATATTTACCTATTTCCGAATCAAGTAAACGCTTCCAGGTTTAAAATGGAACCAGCATCATGTACCGATTTACGAACAAAGTCAATATTTCCAAACTCAAATATAAATCACCAATATTTGCCTAAAAATATAGTAAAATATAATGCGAGTTTTTATTATTCGTTTTTTTTTTTTTCGATTTATACACAGGTAATTTGAAATTTTACTTAGAGTGTTGCACTATACACAGGTAATTTCATTTTTACGCAAAAATAGAAGGTCGTACTATATACAGGTAATTTGATTTTTTACGCAAATATAGGGGTCGCACTATACACAGGTAATTTGATTTTTTTACGCAAAAATAGGGAGTTGCACTATACACAGGTAATTTGATTTTTACGCAAAATAGAAGGTCGTACTATACACAGGTAATTTGATTTTTTAACGCAAAAATAGAAGGTCTTACTATACACAGGTAATTTGATTTTTATACGCAAAAAAAGGGGGTGGCACTATACAAAGGTAATTTTTTGAAGAGGTTAAAAATCATGCGGCTTACGGCCATATCACGTTGAACCACTGTATTACTGAAGTTTGTTTTTTTTGTTCAACGGCATATCAACACCTAATGGGTCATTTCATGCCGAAATTTAATTTTAATGTATTGTAGGTATTTTTTTTTTCAAAAATGTATAGTTGGTTATTTTTACTTTTTAACAAAAATGTATTGCTGGAAATACTTTCTTTTTTTTTTTTTCAAAAATGTATTGATGGTATTATTATTATTATTATTATTATTATTATTTCCTCTGATTTCCGGTGTATACTCATTTCTTTCTGGGTCCCAATCAGAGACCTAAGGTCAAAAAATTGCATCATCACATTTTTCACTGAGCCATTTGTTTTTTTAAAAAAAGCGTATTTTACATAGATAACGCCCTTCGTAAGGTGTGAGCTGTACTTGTAAGGACCATTCTTTGTATTTCTTTAAGACATTGTCTAACTTCAATGAGTCTATTGGAATCTTTTCCAATCAATCCGAGGGCTCCAACTACAACTAGAATTGTTGATGTCCTCATGCCCCATATTTTTGAGATTTCGATTTCAAGGTCCTTGTATTTTGATAGTTTTTTGAAGATCTTCAAAGATACATTGCAGTCTGCAGGGACAATAAGAATGAACATTTTGTCTTTCCGGTTCACTAATCACGATGTCTGAGCTTTGATTGTTCTGTCTGTGTGTATTTTAACGTCCCATAAAATTGTTACAGATCTGTAACCGAGTTTGGGAGGTGTTCATACTAAATTTTTTGCAGTTTCCTTTCCGTAGAAGTTGCACTTTTTCCAGTGTAGATATTGGCCCTTTCGTCATGTCGAGTTTTATATTTAGTGGGTACCAATACTGCACAACCTGATACAAGAAGGTCAGTTGATTCTAGATATTTATCACAGACTCTTCTTTTTAGGCTATTACAATTTTGTATATGTACTTAGTAATTTTTTAGTTACCTTATTATTATTAATATTATTATTATTATTATTATTATTAATAATAATAATAATAATAATAATTCAAAAATGTATTGCTGATAATTCTTTTACTATGAAAATGTATTGCTGGTATTTTTACTATAAAATGTATTTTTATACTTTCATAGGGTTTTGACCTCACTTTGGTGGTGGGGGTAACTATTTGACCATAGTTGGGACCCTAACAAGTGCTTCCACCCCAGGTCAGAGTGGACATGGGAACAGTAGCAATTAAGAGGTGGTTCCAAGTCGCACAAAACCTCCCGATTAGACTTCGGTCCTGGTCAGAACCTATATGGCTGACCGTTTGTGAATACCACGTGCTGTAAGCTTGGATAACGGCTCGGAATTGGTAATCGGAGAGACGAGTTCCAGTTCCGGTTGGGGTCGTTTTATTCACTTACGCGACAATACCCTTCGGTTAGTTAGTAAGTATCGCTAAATCATTATTATCTCCACCCCACCTCAAAAAAGAATTCTTACAATCTAAAAAAAATTATGACTTTAAATAACCTGCAAAAGGTCGATAAACCGTAAAAAAACGAATCACTCAATAAAAAATCACGCCTTTTCTGTGACCGGTTGCCCTATACACGAATATAATTTTTTTTTTTCCGGAGAGGTTAAAATTTACGTATTTTCGGTAACCGTTAGGCCTACATTTTTAAGTTAACTTTGGCTAACCTTAATGGTACTGGTTAGATCTTTTAGTCTGCCACCCATAGCCTAAATTCTTTCTTTCTGTAGCTACATGAATAGAACATCATTTACCATGTGAATCTTAAACTACAAATACCTTATATAAATGAAGAATTAACATGATTATTTCCCCTTTCTCCAATCTGCGTTTGTCTTCGTTCGCTAAGGTATTGATTTCCCAACGACACCCCCGTTTGTCTGAGATATATATATATATATATATATATAGTAATTAGTAGGAGGATTTGATAATTATATTTAATTAATTCATCGAGTCTGATAGAAACCTCAACAGAATGCAGAAAGCACTGGACGGCCGTTTCGTCCTATATTTGGGACTCATCAGCAGTGCGCATCCACTACCGAGAATTGAAACAATATATATTTATATATATAAAATATGTCACACATAACTTTCTCCTGTCCCTCTTCCCCCCACCCTCATCCGCCCTGTGGGTATCAGATTTTCCAAGCCCTCCGTTAAAATTTCTTCAAATATGTTGACAAAATGCACCGCAGTATAGGGAAATGATAATTGCACAAGGTGAAATACTAAATGAATTTTGACCCTGCTCTCCATCTCAAGGTTTTCGACAAAATCCACAGAAGGATTTGCAATATAATCGGTCGTGACCTGGCATCTCGGCTTCAGTCACTTTCTCTCAGACGTGATGTGTCTTCCCTCTGTCTTTTCTACAGAATATTTTCATGGCAACTGCTCTGGCAAGCTTTCTTCCCTGGTGCCCCGACTATATAAATTTAAGCGTGCTACTAGGTTGCTATCCAGGTCCCACCCTTTTCACTGTTGAAATAACTAAATTGAACCGGCACTTCTACTCTAGCGGTTTCTTTTCTTGCACTTCCTGACAGTGAAATTCCCTTCCTCTTACTTGCTTCTCTGGTAACTACAAAAATATGAATACGTTAGTCTCCATCTTTTGTTGCCTTGATCCCGCGTTCATCTTTTATCTTTTCCTCAATCCCTCCCTATACCCAGTCTTTTCACTCACTTTCACTCTCTGTAACAACTTACGTGCTAGTGGCACTCCCGCCTTGCTCAGGGTAAAATGGTTAAAAACCTTCTAATAGCTTTATTTACGGTATGCAGTATATGATTTGGTGTTTATCATCCTAAGGGTGAATAAACTGCCACTATATTTCTATCTATAAAAGGCAGGATGTGTGTGTGTGTGTGTGTGTGTGTGTGTGTGTGTGTGTGTGTGTGTGTGTGTGTGTGTGTGTGTGTGTGTAACGAATGCAGGGCCACAATTTTCGAAGGATTTGCACCAATATTTACATGCACATGCTCCAAGTTAGTGAGAAGGCCAAGACCGACTTTGCATTTCCCAACTCCCATCGATAGTGGAAATAATCGATTTTTTTCATGCTTCTCCGGCAGTTTTCATGTAGTTTGCGGCCATTTTCTACTGGCCAGGTGAGCCAATAGCTGGCTGCCACGAATAGGCAAGAAAATTCTGTTGGCCAGCGTGAGCCAACAGCTGACTGACACGAATGTTAACTAGCATGTTAGCATGCAAAAATATCGATAGCTGCATTCGTCACAAGTGGGAAAAATTTAAATCAGCATGGCACTTTACTCTGTTTGTCTCATTCGCTTTAGCAAATTCAATGTTGATTCTGATTCCGCAGAACTGGGTTGAGTGTGAAAATGTATTTGTTGTTAACATTCTTTTTTTCATTCGGTTTTCCAGTTACGAGTCCTTTTTTAAAAGCTGATCGTTTTGTGTTCATTTGTTTAGTTCTTTTTTCGTAACAGATTTAATGTTTAGTATAGAGCTTACAAAAAAATTCGCAATGTGAGATAGGCAAGAAGTAAGGCACGTAGCAACATCAACAAAAGGGCACTCCTTTAAAAGGCAAGGAAGATCAAAAATATTTTTAAGTCATGTGATAACGATTGCTGTATGGGTCATTACGATTTTTGAATCAAGCACGGGCAACGCCGGGCCATGCAGCTAAATATATATATATATGTGTGTGTGTGTGTGTGTGTGTTTGTGATTCGCAGGACTGTACTGTTTCGCTATATCACAGCTCCTTAATGCGACTAGACATCCGAATGCCTCAAGCCAAGATCGAAACAACCGATTTGGTGTCATATATATATATATATATATATATATATATATATATATATATATATATATATATATATACATATATATATATATATATATATATATATAATTTATACGTTTCATTAAATAATATAGACAAGTGTTGTCTATTTATTTTATGTAAAATTTGTTCTTAAATCTGATAAGGTTGATAACATTATCATTAAACGAAGAAAGAAATTCACAATATTGATCCATATTTTTTTAATATAATCTAAGCTTTCGGCTTACTTAAGACATTATGAAAGATGTAAATCACAAACATATTAAACAATATACGGACACGACAGTGATGATAGTCTGTCATTGTTTACATAGTTGATCACTCAGCAACGATAAACACGCGCATATAAGACGCTAGAAGCGAAAATTGCACCGCATCTCTTGACGTCACACATGACTACACGAGAGTGAATTGTAGAATGAAGTAAGGAAAGACGTTGGTATAAACCAATGGCTTCTGTTACCAATTATATATATATATATACCAATTATATATATATATATATATACCAATTATATATATATATATATATATATAGAGAGAGAGAGAGAGATCGATAGATAGATAGATAGATAGATAGATAGATAGATAGATAGATAGGAATAGATAGATAGATTCAATATTATTGGTTAAATAATTTATGCATATTATGTCTGTTTATTTTAGTTTTAATCCTTTCAAGTCCACGAATTAATTTCTTGGTGGCTGGATTAAACTGATCAAGAAAAATAAGTAAATTTTCTTTCATATAATTTTTATTTTCCCAAGTACTTTCAATCTCTTTTGAGACCATCTTTTGTGGATGTATAAACAGTAAATTTATAATATCAATAGGAATAAACCAAATTGAGGAGAGTTATAAAAGCCTATCCCACTATAAATTATACACAAATTATTACGATACTTGCTACAGGAAGAACTTATTGACGATACACCGAAGAAAATAGTTTTTTTTCTTTTTACTGAACATTTAGGAACTATACTTAAAAACCAAAGTACTATCTAAATCTAAATCTTCGTATCAGATATTTTATGGCTTTCTTTGCCATTTTGGGATAGCTTTGTTAAAAAAAGAATGAAGATCATTTATTTGCTATAGTGATTTTCCAAGTAGTTCTATAGGAATAAAATGTCGCTGCCGACACTTGAATTTGAACATAGATCGCCAGTGAGCAAACACAGGCGATCCCATTATTGAATTAAGTAGACCCATAGAGGAAACGCATATATGAGAGGTAGCCTGCGTCTAATTGATCACTATTTTTATTCTATCCTCTATTACTCTACGGATCACTATTTCTCGTCTATCCTCTATTAATATAGGGACCGCTATTCTCTACTCTATTCACTATACTATTTCTCTATTCAGATCACTCTATGGATTCAAGTGTGTATTATCGAGCAAATACTATTAGTGCGAGTGATATTCAAAGGCGTTTGACACCAGTATTGTTCAACGGCGTTACTATAGTTGTATCTGCGATTACAAAGTCTCTACTACAACGAGCATTACGAAAGTGACAACGAGTATTCGTTGGCATCACAAAAAAACGAGTTTTCGTTGACAAGTGTAGCTTAGATGTGACACAAGGGGGGGTATGGGGCACCCAGTGACGATCGAACTCACTATTAAGTCGTAAATGTTTTAGCGGGACAAGCTTGCTAAACATTATATCACCTCAAGGTACCCACCATTTATTTGCCATCTGTCCAGGATGATGCCCGGTGCTGCAATATTGGACTACGCTAGGCCTACTGAGAGGCGGAAGGCGCGAAGGAGGCACGGTGGAGTAATGGATAGCAGCTTGGATTGAGGAATCGGAGAGCCGAGTTCGAATTCCAGTCGAATCCATTACATTCACTTACGTGCTAATACCCTTGGGAAAAGGTGTGAATCCTCTTCTTCTCCCTCCAGCTATGAGTAAATAGCAGGACAGACTGGGTTCTATAGCCTTGGATGGCAACTGGTCTGGAGAGGAAAACTCTGAATTCAAAACCTGCGGAGGGTGAATGGAGTCTCTGAGCCTTGGTTGGCAATCCATTTAGTGATGGTGTCACGATAAAAACACCCTTGATAGCTCTAGCGAAGCATCAAGAATTCAGCTATTTGACAAAATTACGAACTGCACCAATCAAAGTATTAGCTATGACAGATAAGGAATACTGGAAAGGTGTAGTGAGTTGCTGAGGCCGAAAGATGATGATGAGGCCTACTAGTATTTTTCTAAGGCAGTGGGGTCACATTAGACACAAACTAAATGAAAACATCAAGTTTTTCACAAAAGAAATTCAAGGATCGCACTTTATAGGAAGTAGTCTTATACACGAGTATATATAGCAAATCAAATCAAATTGTCATTTAAAAACTGGTTTCGACATTAAATAACCAAACAAGTAATAAAATGTCCTAAAATCAATCAAATCAACACAAACAAACACTCTCTTATTACTTTGAAAATGATCTTAAATTCATGCCCTGTCAGTTATGGAAAGGTTGACTTTAAAACTATAAAGTATGATTTATTTTTGTTTTATCTAGTACTCTGTTTAAAGTAAATTAGACTGACTTCGATCCATCAAGAATTAACATGTAAAACCAACCGATCCAACTTCACTGGTCAGACATTTGTCTAAGATGCGCGGCAAATTTAATTAAAACCTAAAAGCAATATTAACGCGCTGGGCTAATTTACTTAAAACTTTCGATTTCTGTTGGGACATATCCTAACTTTTTCTCTGCCTATTAGAATAAACATGTTCCGTAGACCTTTCACAAGAAATCCACTGGGACATAGTTGTTACGTAAAATAAAGCTTTTACGACCACAGACAGTGACATCGCCATCGCTTGCGCAATATTTGAGTGAAAGGGAGAGACATGTAGTTAGCATGGCCTACTAATTTGGTGTTTATCATCCTAAGGGTGAATAAACTGCCACTATATATATATATATATATATATATATATATATATGTGTGTGTGTGTGTCTGTGTGTGTGTGTGTGTGTGGCTATATATATGTATTATCAATGAGAATGTTCCGAATGCCTCAAGCCAGAATCGAAACTCAACCGTTTTGGTGTCATATATATATATATATATATATATATATATATATATATATATATATATATATATATATATGTAAGCAAATGTCCATCGTCTTTGTCAAATTGAACTGAATTGTATTTTAATGAATATTGTCTTGAAAAAGGTTTATTAAACCGAAACGTCAGACGTCGACATTTCATTCATTTTAAACAACATAAATGCATTTAAGGATTTTTGGTTTGTTTTTTCCAAATTTTTCTTCATATATATATATATATATATATATGAAGAAAAATTTGGTTAAATAATCTATACGCATTATGTCTATTTATTTTCGTTTTAATCCTTTCAAGTCCACGAATTAATTTCTTGGTGGCTGGATTAAATTGATCAAGAAAAATAACAAAATTTTCTTTCATATAATTTTTATTTTCTCAAGTACTTTCAGTGGGTTAATATACCTGTGGATATATAAACAGTAAATTTATAATATTTTTACACTGTTCGTTTGCAGCATTTCAAATTCAAGGAAGGTAAATTTTGTAAATATATATATAATTGTTTATTTGGGCAGCAATCCCTCTTTTATACAGGTTTCATTAAAATAGACTGACCAGGTACTGGAATTAAGCTTTTTATTTAATTTTCCTTGTGGTTTTATATATATTTTTTTCTTTAGAAATTATTTAGAAATTGTCAAATGTTTTGTATGTCCAAGCGTTTCGGCTATACTTTTAGCCATTATCAAGGATGAATTTATTTTTACGTTAAACTGAATGTATCGATTGTTTTATGTGTGTATCTAGAATTATAGTAATGTTTAATTTTCCAAACTCGGTCAGCACATTGTGGCCGTGGTCATAGTTGTTTATTATTATTTTTATTTTTATTTTTATTATTAATGCTTCCATTATTTTTAGCCTCTTGTACACGCAGATGAGGCTATTATATATGTATTATCAATGAGAATGTTCCGGTTAGGATTTGGTAGGTTTCCATGTGTATTTAAATGAAACCTAGTTGAACTATGGTCGCAGAGATATAGCGTGAGTTTTCACACACACACATATATATATATATATATATATATATATATATATATATATATAGATAGATAGATAGATAGATAGATAGATAGATGGGATGACGATATATACATTTTTGTATATCCAGTGCAGTGTTGGAGAAAAGATGTATGACAAGATAGAAAAGGTTTCATGTGACACGTTTCGTCTCATAGGACTTCATCAGACTAAGTTTGATTACGCTGGTGCGACTACACATGCGCGCGATCGAATGATGATGGTAATTTTGAATTGAGAATTTGGTGGGGGGGGTATACAATCTAGCAAGTTTCATCTAGATTCTTTTTTGTGTCCGCCATGTTTGTTATTAAACATCCGACATTGTGATAACAGAAGATCTGTCAAAAACGGTGAAACGTTGTAAGAATCTGGACGCACATTTACGGTGGATTAACTATTGATTATTTCTAGAGTTTCTAGCATTTTCTAGACATTTTCGTCGAGGTGAATTGTTTTCTCTTGTAATTAGAGTAATCATTTTTATGTCAAAATTGTGGCCAGTCTCGTTATGGTAACGAGTAACTAATTCGTTTAATTTGCTGTTTTTTGAAATGTCTCTTTTTTGTTCATATAATCTTCTATTTAATCTTCTTAACATTTACTGGGTTTATATTATCCTTTTCACTGATAATCGTTGTAGGCAGTCAAAACAAACTGCAAGTTTGCTGTTTCAAAATAATAATAAAAAAAAATAATTACGATAATAATGCTGACGTCGCCAACAGCATTGAAGCAAGAAGTCCAGTCATGATTTGTGTTTTGGAAGGAAGGCAAATATTGTTGGACCCTTGATAAGATGCTATCAAAGGAACGTAAGAAGATTTGAGAAAAAAAAAGGAGGAAATATATGGAGATTCGAGACACGATTCTAGAAGCTTAAGTATGTAGACATCTTTACTGTCGTTTTGGATGCACTTAAGGATGCAACAGACAAAGTCCAAGAAAATTGCTGGCTGAAATCAGGACTGTGATTTTGAACGTAGTTGCTTCAGAAAACACAATTGCTTTCAGCCAGAACTCAGACTCAGATTTTGTTGATGAAAAAAGGCGAAGAAATCCTTGTCTTGTGCACCCGTGTTAATAGTTTCACATTTATTTTGTGCATATAATTCAGATTTATTTATATTTATTCCCAGTTTAAAAATTATTTTCTAATTTTTTTATTTCATGTTGGAATTTTTACCTTTCTTTTGTAGCAAAATATTTATATACGACTTGTTAATCTTGTTCGCGAACCTTTCTCTTGAGACCAATTCCTTACCGAATCATCACTCGTAACTTAGCGAAGGGCAAGGTAGTAAATATATGTATGCTGTTTGAGCACATTCTGATATTAACCTCTTCCCCCAGCGTAGTCGTGTATATGCGTTTTTACCGAAAGTATCCTTTCAGGCATGGACGAATAAACACGTTCAAAACATAACGTTCAAAAACCAGCTGCAGATTTGTTTATACGTCGATCTTGTTTCATTTTATGCACTTCTGAGTTTGAAAGGAGTCCAAATGTCAACTCATATGCCCGGTAGAAATGTTAGCTACCGCCCGGGTACTTCAAAGTACCTCAGTTTCTTAGTTCCTATATTAAAAACAAATAAAAAATCGTCTGAAAAATGAAACGTTTTTTCCCAAAATAATAATGGATTAAGCGATACTTAAAATGTACAGTGTTTATATTTTATTTACATTAGTAATACTTTCGTCAGTAGATGGCCAAGTCCACACAGTGCGATGTTTTCAATCACTTGTAAACGGGATTTTCTAAGGATCTTGTTAATGAGCTTAACCAATTATTGTACGTGTAAACAATAGTTTTAAGATGCCACATTCTTTTCAATTTTATGACACGTTTACTTGAGTTTTGTTCAGTATAATTCCTTATCAGATCATTATGCAAGACCTGATGTAAGGCAAGATAGTAAATACGTGCATTCTGTTAGTCCAAATTCTCTTGTCAAATGATACTTCACATTTACAGTGTTTATATTTTCTTTACTTTGATAAAACCTTCCTGAGTAGATAAGCAGATCCACACACTGCAATGTTTTGAATCGTTTATAAACAGTTTCTGCTAAGAATCTAATTAATGAGTTTTTCTGTACCTTTCTGGATAATACATATGACCCCAATTATTGCAGGTGTAACAATAGTTTTAAGGTGCCATATTCTTTTCAATTTTAAGATCCTTATATTTATTTGTTTTGTTATATTCATTAACAGATTTTTATCTGATCACATTGCCATATCTATGAGAAAGAATTTTCTTTTGGTTTGTAAACTTTAAACACAACATCCTGTCTGTCAGTATGAATGGTAAAGTCTAAAGACATTATTATTTTAACTTTTATTTCAGTCTTTTCTTCCAAAATACAAATTTTTGGTTAATATGATCTTTGGTCTTTTTGGTTTTCAGAATTAAATATCTACTCTCACTTTTCTTTCATCCTTTCTGGACATACTGGTCAAACAAAATATGAATATTTTATTATTAAGGCTTTAAAAATGAACATTTTAAAAGTAAACATAAATATATGAAAACAAAGGCGGAAGAAGAGCAAAGAAAAAAAAATGATACATTTTCAAGGTCAAATCAAAAAATAAAACCCTTTTTCTACTCTTTTTTCTTTTTGTTTCTTTGCTTTCTGTTATATTTTTCAATCTATCACTTTAACATGAATAATATTTTTATTTCTAATCCTAACTATTCCTTACCACTTTGTGGGCAGAGGATAGATAGAATTAAATGACTTAATACAAAAAAAAACAAGCCAAAACCTGAAGGTGGAATTTAGTCTCTCACCTGCAATGATTGCAAAAAAGAATATATTGGTGAAACCTCAAGAAATTTAAATACACGATTATATGAACACAAAAAGATATTTTTAAAAAAACACATTAAATACATTAGTTGCTCACTAATGTAATTCAATTACTGTTATTCTTTCTGGACATACTAGCTTCTACTTGCTTTCTGTTCAGTATCAACACCTGATCTAAGGCAACGTGCGAGGTGTAAATATGTGAATTCTGTTAGTACTAATTCTGATGACAAGTGATACTTCACAAGTATAGTGTTTATATTTTCTTGATATTGGTAAGACTCTCCTGAATAGATGAATCGTTCTACAATGAATCCTTGTCTTACAGTTCTTTCTACTTTTGTATGTTTTCTGAATTCATGTTTTATGCGTAAGCAGGTGGCTCACTCCAGTAAAGTTATACAATATTCTAATATATTTCCCAAATAAAAAACTATGTAAAGAACATGTCATATGTAATATATAGTTTAACATCAAAATGGGTGAAAACTAAATCCATGTATTTTTTACTCTCTTGCTTTACCCTAGATCTCGAGTAATGACTCTTGTAAAGTACTGCACAGAAATCATCAAATAATGATAATAATAATAATAATAATAATAATCTCTTATAATTTTACTTGTTCCCCCGCCTTCGTTACTTAGTTAGTTCCTCAGTTACTTCGCACGGCCGTTACGCTCTGCCAATACCTCGTAAATAATGGGCTATTCCATTTTGACCGAGAAACTAACATATCAGAAACGCTACTTGGTTTCAGTGAGGAAAATAAAGAAAAAAAGAAGATAAGATAGAAGGGTTTAAAGTTTGTTTCGGTGAAATGGAAAAAGTTGTCAATTTATCTTTTTTATATTTTATGCCCTTACTTATATAAGAATTTATTAACAAAATTGTTTGCAAGACAGGTTTTCGGCTAGTACTAGTAAATTCTTGATGTAGATACTGTTATTAAGGGATGAGACCAGGAAGGTGCTTGCAAGTATCTGAGTGTGAATGAAGTCAAGGGAATACGACATTCGAAGATGGAAGACAATATTAGATGGGAGTGCATAAGTAATAATGAAAACAGAATTGAATTCGAAAAATATAATATCCGCCATTAACATTCCTGCGGTCTCAGTTGTAATTTATAGCACCAAAATAATGAATTGGAACTTCGGGGTCCCTCCCACTTGACTTTACTAAAAATCCGTGACTAGGTGACGCTCCTTAAGCCTATAAATAGGAAAATATATTGTCAGTCACCCTTTTTTTACTCTCTTCTAACCTCGGCTATAAAATGTAGCCGCACGTGGGAATTAAGGTGTCCCCCATTGTGGCACATTCACTTCACTTTCAATGCATTACTTTCCTCTAAGACTTTTCTTTCTATGTGCCGTGTCCTTTCAGGACGTATACGATCATGGTTCTCCACCTCCCTTGCAGCTTTCAACAAGTTCCTTCCCTCTGCTTCCTCCTCTGAACCACGTTCTCTCAACCATTTTCTTAAACCCGCCAGGTATGTTGCGCATTGTTTTCCCTTGTCTCTCTTTCCCTCTATTCGACCCGTGAGCATCAGATTCTCCAGGCTCTCCTTCCTCATTATGTGTCTGAGAAACTTCAGCTGCCTCTTCCTGATATTAAGTATAAACCTCCTCCTTGTTTGCAACCTCTCTAAGACTTCATCGTTGCTCACACGCTCGATCCATGATATTCTTAGCATCCTTCTGTAGAATCGCATCTCCGTCGCCTCGAGCCTCTTCTTCATCTTTGAGGTGACCGTTCAACATTCGCTGCCATAGTAAAATGATAGATGTCACGTAACAGCTCAGCATTGTTTTCTTTGTTGCCAAAGAATTCCTCCTGTCTCGCAGTACTCTACCCAGCTTTTGGAATGTGTCCTTGGCGATCCCAATAACCTATGCTATTAGAGTTTAAATATTTTCTTTTTCTTATTGTCATTGTATACTTTCGTTAATACTTACATTGTTTTTTGTTTTATATTCTGTTTTGTGTTAGTCATTTATTATTGGGACTCACATAAGAGTCCGCAACAATTGTTACGGGGAAAATATACCAGGAGACGCGTGTTTTCTAAGTAAACACAACTAGCATTCCCGCAACAAACTCAAGAAAACTGGTGCCAAAATTTTCAAACAAATTGCGGTGTCAAAATATTCTTGGTATTTATTTAAAGGAAACTTTGGAATAAAACAGACTGACACAAGGGTATAAAAAATAGTATATATTTATTCATTTGATTTAGATGTGAGAGAGTCCCCTGATATGCGCGGTAAAAATAAAGTTCGTTATAAGCCTGATCTTGGTAGCAGTCGGAAGAAAGTCCATTTCCGTTCGGTATTAGAGTCACGGTGGAGTAATGGGTAACGGCTCGGATTGAGGAATAGTAGAGCCGAGTTCGAATTCCTGTGAAATCCATTACATTCACTTACGTGCCAATACCCTTGGGAAAAGTATGAATCCTCTTCTTCTCGACTACCCCGCAGCTATGGATAAATAGCAGGACAGACCGGGTTCTTTAGCTTTGGATATGAAGTAGTCCTTCGCAGAAAGTAATGGCAACCTACTGCGAGGAAAAAAATCCTCCTCGACAGTCATGTATCGAAAGATACATGATCGCCTAAGTGTGTATCACGCATGGCACATAACTGAACTGATTCCACAGTTTAGAGGCCAGAACTGTTTTCTCGGCCCTAAGGGCAGAAAATATCATTAGCGATGACCTCTTGACCCTTTCACCTGTGTAGATATGTATATACGTTTTTACCGAAAGTGTTTTTTTTTTTCAAACATGGACGAATAAACACGTCCAAAACATAACGTTCTAGAACCAGCGACAGACGTGTTTATACGTCCATTCGTCAACTCATACGTCTGATAGAGGTGTTAGCCACCGCTTGGATACTCTGTGTTTCTGTTTCTTAGTTCTTTCTTCTTTTATGTGCCGTGCCCCTTCAAGACGTAAGCGTTCATGGCTCTCCACTATCTCCTTTTAGTTCTCAATAAGTGTTGTGTTTTTGCTACTTCTCCCAGGTCCTGTTCTCTCACCAACTTGCCCGCTAAGTATTTTACACGTCGCTTTCCTTTGTTCCTATTTCTCTCTATTCGCCCCATGAGTATCAGATTTTCCAAGTCTTCCTTTCTCATTACGTGTTCCAGAGATTCCTGATGGTAAGTATACGTTTCCTCATTGTTTACATCCTTTCCAAAACCTCATCGTTGCTCACATGTTCAGTCCATGGTATTCTTAGCATCCTTCTGTAGAACCATACCTCCGTTGCCTCGAGTCTCTTCTTCATCTTTGAGGAGACCGTTGAAAATGAAATTTTTTTTCCAAAATAATTGGCGTCATGCATGGGTGGTTTCTCAAGTGGACGCGTCTATTGTTCCGTGTTTTCCTTGCTGTCCTTTCGTCTCGTCTAGCTCTAAGCTGTTAGCTTATATCCTTTTGACTAAGCTCCCTAACTTCCGGCGCGAACATTGCTTTCGGCTAACATCATATTTTTTCGAATAACTCAAATTATTTTATTTTCCGGCGTTCCTTTATTTTTCCATTTTTATATAACGGAAGTTATGTGTGGAGCCTCTCTGATTTTGGTAGTTTTTAGCCACAAATGTTAATAATAATAATAATAATAATAATATAAAAACTTGTCACCATATCACGCACTTCTGACTATAATGCCTACGCCTGGTGTATCTATGTTAAATAAGGATTGAGGTTCGAATAGCAAAATCAAACAAGTACAAAAATTTAAATATCTGGGAAGTTTTCTTACAGAGGACGGAAAGTGCGACACTAAGATCTGAAGACGTATTGTGATGGTCAAAGATGCATTCGAAAAGCTAAGTAAAGTATTAAGAGACAGAAAAGAGTATTGAAATGTTACGTAATATATGTCCTCCTATATGGCAGTGAACGCTAGGCAATCTCCTCATTGATGAAGAAGAGACTTGAAACAACAGAAACATGGTTCTACAGAAAGATGCTGAGGATAACATGGACCGAACATGTGAGCAACGACGAGATTTTAGAGAAAATTGAAACAAAAAAGAAACATACTTAACATCAGGAAGATGAAGTTTCTGGGTCACGTAATGAGGAAAGAGAGCTTGGAAAATCTGACACTCACAAGACTGATTGAGGGAAAGAGTTAGAGAGAAGGCAGCATACTTGATGGGTTTGAGCAAATGGATAGTGGAACAGGCCTTGGAAGAAATAACAAAAAGACAAAACTTATTAAGAGCTATAACGGACAGGAAAATATGGACGTCCATGATCGCCTACTCGTTAAGGGACACAACAGAAGTTATTTGTCTGACGGCATAATTTTGTCTGCGTGTTGCTCTGTCGTTCATGCTGTGTTGAGAACTTTTCCAAAAAAACTGGGGACAAATGGGCAATTTGAACGCTGGATAATGCCAAGGCAATCAAGATGACAGCATTACCAAAAACAGCTAGAATGCTCAGAAAAGCATAGAATATTAAAAATGATTTGCTGTCACTTGGTCTGCGTGGCTATGCGTCTCAACGCCCAATGAGGGAGAATTAATAATAATAATTGTGGCTGGGATTTCTTCCGTTCCTAGTGGTTGGCGCTTGGGAGCAAATCAATAGACCAACAAATTCGGAAGAGTGCTCGCCATGTTTGACATCTATTGAAGGTAATTGATTAAAGGCTGGCTTGCAGCTGGTACAGCGAGGAGACAAGTGGCATATGAAAATCGATCTGATTGGGATAAAATAAAAATTGAAGGCTTGGCGGAAGAGGGAAAAAGAAGAGGGAAGAAGCACGTGTTAAATAGGGAGTGAAGGAAACAGAACAGAAGGGAAAGAAAGAAAGAAAAGAAAGAAAAGAAAGAAAGAAAGAAAGAAAGAAAGAAAGGTGGGGATTTGAAGAAAGAACGAAAGAAAAGAAAGAAAAAAAAGAAAAGGTGGGGATTTGAAGAAAGAAAGAAAGACGGGATGTGGAGAAAGAAAGAAAGAAAGAAAGAAACAAAAGAAAGAAAGAAAAGAAAAGAAAGAAAAGAAGAAAAGGTGGGGGGATTTGAAGAAAGAAAGAAAGAAAAAAGAAAGAAAGAAAGAAAGAAAGAAAAGAAAGAAAGAAAAAGAAAGAAAAAGAAAGAAAGAAAGAAAGAAAAGAAAAGAAAGAAAGAAAAAAGAAAAGAAAAGAAAGAAAGAAAAGAAAGAAAGAAAGAAAGGTGGGGATTTGAAGAAAGAAAGAAAGAAAGAAAGAAAGAAAAGAAAGAAAGAAAGAAAAAGAAAGAAAGAAAGGGGATTTGAAGAAAAACGAAAGAAAGAAAAGAAAAAAGAAAGAAAAAAAAAAGAAAGAAAGAAAGAAAAGAAAAGAAAAGAAAGAAAGAAAAGAAAGAAAGAAAAGAAAAAGAAAGAAAAAAGAAAGAAAGAAAGATTAGGGATTTGAAGAAAGAAAAAAGAAAAGAAAAAAAAAAGAAAAGAAAGAAAGAAAGAAAGAAAGAAAGGTAGGGATTTAAAGAAAGAAAGAAAGAAAGAAAGAAAGAAAGAAAGAAAGGAAGAAAGGAAGGTAGGGATTTAAAGAAAGAAAGAAAGAAAGAAAGAAAGAAAGAAAGAAAGAAAGAAAGAAAGATAAAATTGAAAAAAACGTCATGAGCAAGCAGAGAAAGAAAGTAAAACATAAACGGAAAAGAAAGAAAAAAGTGAAATAAAACAAGACCGAATAAAACAAAGAAGAAAATAGAAAATAAAGAAGGAAACGACAAATAAAGAAAGAAAGAAAGAAAGAATGAATGAAAAAATGAAAATAGGAAAATTTCACAAGCAAAAAAAGAAAAAAGCAAGAGATAAAAGGAAAAGAAAGAAAGAAAAATGAAATTAAAATGGCACGAGTAGGAAATAAATAAAGAAAGAAAGAATAAAGGAAATTTAATCAAAGAAGAAAGAACAAAAATGGAAATGACAGAGAAAGAAATAATGGAAAAAGAAAGAAGGAAAGAAAAAAGAAAATGATTAATTTAAAAACATGATATAAGCAAGACAAGAAAGAAAGAAAGAATTAAAGAAGGAATAACAGAAATTGAAACGAAGAAGAAAAATAAAAACACCAAAAAATAAACAAAGATGGAAACACCAAAAAACAAAAACAAAGAAAGAATGATTAAATTGAAGCAAGAAAAGAAAGGAATATATTAAAGGAAAAGAAAAAGATTTCAAACAAAAAAGAAAGAATACGATAAACTGAAACAAAGAAGAAAAAGAAAGAGAGCAAAAGAAAATAAACAAAGATAGAAACTGCAAAAAAGAAAGAAAGAAAAAGAGAGAGAAAGTAAGAAAGAGAGAATGTGAAAAAACAAATGATAAAGGTCATATTAGCCCTCCCCTTATAAGGAAATATTCGGTATTCATTCTGCCGGTTGAAATTTATATAATATTTATCTTAAAAGAAGGAAAACAGGTTTCTCAGTTTTTATTGCGCTTTCCAATATTGATGGGGCCTTCTTACCTAACCTTTTATTTGAAGTAGTGTCGACCGTCAAAATCTGTATTATATTATTGATCTCCCTTCGAGTATCGATGAAATATTCATTTCAGTCGTCGCCGCTGTCGAAAATCCTGAGATGATGTTTCTACACTTTGTTTTTGATTCTGTTCCACGAGATACAAAGAAGGATGGTCCTGTTTAAGACTTACGGGCTTTATTTGCTCGAAGCAGTTTTTAATCATTGATCTGAGAAAGCGGTGTCATAGAGTTTTCCTTTTAGACATTTCTGAACGGGTTGGGCGCATTAAAATCTGGACGTTACGAGGCTATTTAAGAACATGACATTAGTTTGGGTGGGGGGGATCTGGGATCTGTTTTAAAAGAGAAAGGACAGTGCGACAGCGGAACTAAAAGACGCACTGTGATAACAAAAGATGCCTTCTAAAACTAAACAAAAGTAAACATTAAGAAACAAGAAAATTTCGTATCATTATTTATTCTGTCTTTGTGTATTTTAAAGTCTCATAAAATTGTTACAGGTTCCCTTAATCAGGTTTGGGTGGCGTTCATACCAATTTCTTGCAGTTATTATTATTATTATTATTATTATTATTATTATTATTGGCGCGTTAGCATTCCGACCATGGAACCGAGGTTTTTATCGCATGATAATATCGGCCTCGGGGACGATCACAGAAGCAACACCTTTGGGAAGTACCTGAAAACCATACCACGAGGTGACCCTAGTCTTTCGAATGGAAATTTATATAATATTTATCTTAAAAGAAGGAAAACAGGTTTCTCAGTTTTTATTGCGCTTTCCAATATTGATGGGGCCTTCTTACCTAACCTTTTATTTGAAGTAGTGTCGACCGCCAAAATCTTTATTATATTATTGATCTCCCTTCGAGTATCGATGAAATATTCATTTCAGTCGTCGCCGCTGTCGAAAATCCTGAGATGATGTTTCTACACTTTGTTTTTGATTCTGTTCCACGAGATACAAAGAAGGCTGGTCCTGTTTAAGACTTACGGGCTTTTCGACCTCTCCCGAACAGTTTCGTTCGGGAGAGGTCGATGTTTGTGACCGGGAGTTTGAGGCCTTGTTCAATTATTGGTCCCATCAGATTATAAGATCTCTCCCAGAAACTGCAGGTAATGTTCGCTCAGCATAGTAGTAAAAACCACATGAGAGCTCGGTGAGAGTTGAACAAACCCAGACGTGCCTGAGCAGGCTTTCGCTGTAAAGATAGTTTAACCAATATAGAGTTATGCTTAGATACAAGCCAACAGCTATTTTTCATTATGATAAGTATTATTATTCTGTTTAATACACTGGATGATTTCCCAAAGCAAGGGTAAGGCTAGGACCTTAATATATGCTTTCTGTTTGTACAAATTCTGATGTTAACTGACACTAAATATGTATATTTACTTTATATAAATATTTATTTCAGGTATTTGGACAAGCATTTGAATGGCGTCCCACATACGTTTGAAACTTGGTTTTTTTATTTCAGGTACTTGATCAGGTATCTGAATGGGGTTCAACGGGTGGTCTTACGTTTGAAACTAGGTTTTTATTTCGAGTGTTATGGACTGGCAGTTGGATGACCTCATATAGGGAGCCTAATGATTATTCTACTTGGTTGATTTCTGATCACATCATACGCTATATAGTTGTTCACTGTACAAGGTACACCGTCGTTTCTGCATAAATCTACCCCTTTATTCAATTTGGTCTTCCTACAATTATTCAGTATAGTTATTCTGCCCAAAATTTCAGAGAAACGGTTTCAATTTATAGATGTTATCTTATCAGTCATGCGTGATACACGCTTAGACGATCATGTATCTTTCGATACATGAATGACGAGTAGATTTCCATTTTTTTCTGCGGTAGACCAATTGTTATTATTATTATTATTATTATTATTATTATTATTGGCTAGGACCTTAATATATGCTTTCTGTTTGTCCAAATGTCAGGGCGATTAGCTTGGATTATTCTGTCTTGATTGGAATTTCAAACGGAACCCTTTATTTCGTCCATCGGGGTAGATTGTTCTAGTTTTACGTGCCATGCCTCTCCCAGATGTCTCAGTTATTTCCCTTTAACTCATCTCTCCTGGCACACCACTGCTGTGGCTTGGTATTGAACTCACAACTCTTTGGTTCTAGTTACTGGGTCTAACCAACGTCTTTATCCACTAGGCAATGATGATGAGGATAACAGTCCGAATAATGTAAATAATACAAGTAATCATAATACCTCATCTCAGAGATATAGACAGATATTGAAGAAAATCTCGTTAAAAACAAAGAAAAAAAGCATTTAACTTACGTAATATCAGTCCTCCTATATGACTTTGTGGTGTGGGGACCTACCTAAAAATGGACTCTTCCACACCTATATAATATGGCTACCAACTCTGATTAAAGGGAGTCCCCACGTGAAGGTCACCAAGTTGTAGCCATAGAGTGAGTGAATGAGTGAGTCAGGACACCAGTGAGAGAAAGTACTCTCCAGTCCACATTTACCTTTGTACTACGTTTCCGAGAATATACTATTTAACCTTATATCCGAGTCCGTATTATCTTTCTATGGTTCGACACCATAACACTTTTAATACTGGACGATGTCGATTTTCTATTCAAGATTATTCGTATCCCAACTATGGCTAGCTATATCGCTCTTTCCAGTATTGATAAGGGTCTTTCCTTCCTAACCTTTTGTTTGAAGTGGTGTAGAACGCCAACAACTTGATGATGTCATTATTTTCTCTTCGGGTGATATGTGCTATCCGTTTTAGTTGTTGCTGCTCTTGGTATTCTTCAAGTGATGTGGTTTCTGTTACATGGTACAGTCCTTTGCGTGCGAATTCAGTAACGCCAGTCCACAATGTTCAAAAAAGGATTATCTTTCCTTCACACGCTCAAAATCCTTTTTTCACCATTGATCTGAGAAAGAGTTGACAGTTTAGATATTTCTTAATGGGTTTGGCGTCATGCATGACATCCATATTGAAATCTTGATCGGACGAGGCTATTTAAGAACATGACTCGAATTTTAATGTTAATGTTTTGGTTTTGTAGTAATTTGTGGTATTCAGCGAAACTATCCCTGGCGCAGTCTATTCTCTATTCAAATTCCTCTTGTCCTATAGTAAATTTGTTATACCTGATCCATACGCCGAGACATTTGAAATGTTTAGTTTTTACTAATTCCACATCTTAAATATTTATTATGTATTCAGGGTAGGTACCTGTTGCAGTTTTTTGTGTATATGTATGTACTAGTGAGTTAGCCCAAATGACTTGACTCACTTTATAGTCCACCACTAGAAGGTTAACCAATCAGAAGACGTAGAATATTCAATCCGTCGTGTATAAAAGCGGCCATTTTGTTCACTCTACCCGAATGTCCAGTTCCAGCTTGTCAGGCGAAGAGAACCAGAAGGACGAACTATGCTCTGCTACTTTTATCGAAATATCCACTGCTAACCTGAACAACGCTTTCCTACTGTCTTCGAAATATTCACTGCTAACCTCTGGATTCTATACTCAAAGACGACCGTCATCATGAACAACAACAGTACCATCACTGCTTTCATTCCAATTCCATAATGATAATTTCTGTTTTGGAAAGATTTATCTTGTTACTTGGAATACTTAGTTCAACACGCCAAATCCTACATATTTCATTTATTTAGAAGCCATCTTTAACCATCGATAT